CTTTCAAAATGCCTTTAAAATATGTAGCCCCTTATAACCAGCACTCCCAGACCCTGTCTGCACCATGAATTTCCCAAGAGTGCACAGCCTGCAGTTCACACTCCGTCTTAAATGAAAGAGTTCAAATGAGAACCAAAGTCTGGAAGTTATTGCAGTTAATCTTTGAGGCCCCACTCCAGGTGATTTGCAGCATCATTACCAAGTAACCTGCAGGGAGATGGAAATGTCTTTCTGTGATGCTTTCCTGGGTAACTGCTGGGCCGTTTCGTCATGCTGCAGGCCCTTTGAAAAGTAAAACAGCAGCAGCATTTGTATCTCAAGAGCAATAAGAGCCATGGCGACAACTTCCACCGCCTTGTACGACACTTAGGAATTGCACATTTCTCTTCTGAGACGGCAAATGTGACTAATTCATGAGACGTATCAGCAGATTACCTGAGCGCACGCTGGGCTAACTGCACAAGCATTCATTGCCGGCAGCTTGTATGCTGCTGTCAGCCGCTCCGCTGTTGGTGATTATGGCAGACAGGATCAATTAGACAGTGGGGCTCGGTGCTTGTTGTACAAGTGAAGGGAATGATTCTCAGGGTTAAGTTACGCAGGAGATTTAGGCCATATTATGGGTATTTAAGATGCGAGCATCCCCGTGTTAAAGCTCGTTAACTCATGCTAAATGGCCTCCGAGCATCTTTAAGTTGTACCACTGTAGGCGAGGGTTAACTCTGGGCCATGCTACCTAGCTTGCGTTAGGGTAGCTTCGCTGCTTCAGTGGGATATAACTGGCAATTTGCAGTCCTCCAGCATCCCAGGATGCACCACTGCCAGCATTCCCCACCCAGAGCAGGGATAGAGCCCAGGTATCCCAGCTCCTAGCCACACCCCTGCTCATCAGCCCTTTAGTGGCAAACCAGAGCGATGCAAGCAAGAAACAATATTAACCCTTCAAGTGCAATCGCGCAGTCCCACATTTCACAGATTTAACATGGTCTAAGTGTAACGCGTGACTTCACCATTAGTCTGCACCCAAACCGGGAACGTATTTGTCTTCCCCTTATTCTGAAGCCCTTCAAAGTACTTGGTATAAATTAGAGCTGCCTTCCCAAGACTAGTGCATGCTGACAACACCCACAGCACACTTCTACATTGAAGGATGAGAACAAGGCCAGTGCAAATCTCTTATACCAGCTCTGCACCAGCTAGTGAAGCCTTTGAAGCCAGGAGTCCTTGAAGGAAACCTTTCCCCTCCAGTTCAGGGCACCTTGTCATTCCCAAAGTAACAACAACCGGCCTGAAGCAAACCCAAATGGCATAAAAATTCACAAGTAAAACTAGTAGGCTGCAACACATGGCAAATGTATCTGTAAAGAAATCATTTCCATTTGCCTTGTCGTTTGTGATGTCACCTTATTTCTCCTTCTGGAATAGTCGCAACAGTCAGCATTCAATGGAAAGTGAGTTAATATGGGATGTTTCATATTTTGTTCCAAAAATAGCTACCCACTCTCAGCTATTTGTCATTCATTTTTGTCCTGTGAGAAGCTTGCAATCGTGCAATCGGCAAGTCAAAAATATCTCAGAGGACTAGTTGTCTACTGCTAATAGCGACGGGTCAAAGGAAGTATTTTTGAGGAAACTCAAAAATAAATGCAAAAATCTAGAACTCTTGGTTCAGAAATGATACCTTTTATTAGACCAACTAGTAAATTGCAAAAACAACTCTCTTTTTCGGCATTTTTGTGGGTGGTGGGGGTTGCACGTCTTTCTCCTCTTTTTCTGCATGTCTTTCTCCTTTCTTTTGAATGTCTTTTTGTCTTTCTTTCTTTCAAGATGGCTGCGGCCAGGTGAAGCCCTTCTGCGTTCCTCCAGCTCAGGTCCTTTCTGAGGTTTCTTCCCCACTCTCTGCCCCCCCGTTTCTCTCCTGCCCCCCCCTAAACATTGCCTTTCCCCAGCCTGTGCTTGGGTACCTCCTCTCTGCCCCTTTTCCCCGCTTTCTGAGCTTTTCCCCCTGGGCTCTGGTGTCCTCACTTGCCTGCGCCCCTCCCCACGCTCCCACCTGTGCTCTCCCTTTGATTCCTGCTGCCTCCCTCCCCCAGAGCCCCTTACCCTGGTTTCCGCCACTTCCTCCTGTCTTAGGGCTTGCCTTCAGCCCCTACAGGGCTGTTTTGTCCCCCCTGGGGCCGATTTTGGGGCTGTTTTAGCCCCCTCCCAGTCCCCAGCTTCAGTTCAAGGCTTTTTTCCCCCACCTTGCAGTTAACCCTCTCCTGCCCAGGATGGCTGCCAGAAGCCAGGGCACGTGGCATGGGGGTATCTCTGCAGACCTGCCCCTTAGCCATGGCCTGCGGGTACATGCCCCTCTCCACATCAGGGTGGAGGCCTGCACTGGTGCTCAGGCGGACCTGGTGGAAAACCGAGACGTCCGGTACAGCGCCCGGGTGAACTCAGTGCCCATCATCTACCTGAGCTCCCCTAGCCTGGTGAAGGAGGTGTGCGGCGGGGCTGGCGGTCTTGGGTGTCCACTACCTGGCTACACCCCTGGAGACCCTGGCAGTGCGTGTGGTGGCCTCCAATAATCCCCTGCACCTGCCAAACCAGGACTACACCAAGCGCTCGAGTGCTATGGCATCCTCACTAGTCCCTGGCGCAGGCGTTCACACTCCTCAGGGAGGGCCTCCAGACCCTGCCTCTCTCCGTTACCTTTGTGGTAGATGAGAGATGGTATGTGGTCTACCTCTCCCAGGGTGAGACCGTGTGTCACAATTGCACCAGTGGCTCCCATCTGGCTGCCCAGTGCCCGCAGGGGCAGCTGGCCAAGACACCGGCTGCTGCACCTGCGCAGGGAGATGGCACGTCCACCTCCAGCATGGGAGCTTCGTCGAAGGGTGGGGCTGGGGGCTACCGGGACTTGTTTGCAGCTGACCCCACCTGCCCAGGGGCCACACGGTGGCTGAGTGATGACCTGCCGTGCCTCTGCGCTTCGCAGGCCGAGGTCCTAGAGCGCAAGCTCTCTCTGGCAGAGCTTGAGGCCGCTGTGGGGGGGCCCGCCTCAGGCAGGGCCCCAGGCCTTGACGGACTGCCCGTGGAGTTTTACAAGGCCTTCTGGCCCCTCCTTGGGCCCAGCCTCCTCCATGTCTTCTGTGAGAGCCTCACCGATGGGACCCTGCTGACCAGCTGCCGCCGGGCGGTGTTAACTTGCTTTCCAAGAAGGGGTCCTTGGCTGCCTTAAAAACAGGCGGACAATCTCCCTTCTGTGCACCGACTATAAGATCTTGTTGAAGGTGCTGGCAAACCATCTCTACGCTGTCTTGGCCTCTGTCATCAGGCCTGAGCAGAGCTACTGCATGCTGAGCAGGACCATCCAAGACAGCCTGTTCCTGCTGCGTGACCTGCTCGTGGCTGTGGAGCAATTTGGCCTGGACGTTGGCCTAGTCTCTCTGAATCAGGAGAACGCTTTCGACCGTGTCAGCCACCAGTACCTGCTCAGCACCCTCCAGGCTTTCGGCTTCAGGCCCCTTTTCATCGCGGCGCTCTGGGTCCTACATCATGGCGCCTCTAGCCCCATTCCCAGTGCGTCGGGGCATCTGCCAGGGCTGCCCCGTCGGGCATGCCGTACACCCTAGCCATCGAACTCCTGCTGCATGTTATAAGATGCCGCCTGACTAGCTTAGCCCTGCCATTGGCACTGGGCCTGACCACCGGCCTCCTGATCCAGCTGACAGTGTATGCGGATGATGTGACAGTCTTGCTGGGCAGTCAGGAGGATGTGCAGGCCCTGGTGGACTGCCAGCGCACCTATGAACTCGCCTCGTTGGCCCGCATCAACTGGGGCAAGAACGACACCCTCCTGCTCAGGGCATGGGTTGGCACCCTCCCCCCACCCCCAACTTGCCAGGGGACCTTGCCTGGTGCCAGGAAGGCCTCAAGCCCTGGGGATGTTCCTGGGTCCAGCAGCTTTTGCATCCCACAACTGGGCGGACCTGGTGGAAGGGGTAGAGGCCTGCCTGCAGTGCTAGCGCTGGTGCTTTCCTACCGCAGCCGGGTCCTCATTGCCAACAACCTGGCGGCTGTGACCCTGTGGCACTGGTGCACTATGCTGGATGACCTGCCATCACTGCTTGAGAGGCTGCAGCAGCTCCTGGTGGACTTCTTTTGGGACAGACGCTACTGGCTCCCGCGAGCCGCCCTCTACCTGCCCATCACTGAGTGGGGCCAGTGCCTGATCGACCTGGCTGGCAGGGTGGCTGCCTACTGCCTGCAAGCCCTCCAGCGGCTCCTGTGCACCAAGGGCCACCTCCCATGGTGGCAGCTGGTTCCTGCACTGAGTGGGGGGCCTCAGCTTTGACTAGGAGCTGTTTATGATGGACCATACCTTCATGAACAGAGCGGTTCTCCCCCTGTTCTACCACAGCATGGTGCAGGCCTGGTGGGCCACCTTCCACCTTTGTCTGCAGGCCAGGTGCCAGTGGTTCCCTCAGCTGCTTCAGGAGTCCCTGATCTACAACCCAGCCCTGCAGCACGCAGTACCTGAGTCGGGCCTCTACCAGCCTCATGGCTGCCCTCATTGAGGCACACACCACCTGCCTGGGGCCTCTCCTGGACTCTGCTCAGTCAGGCTGGCTGTCGGCCAAGGCCCTGGCCGCCCGGCTGGCCCTGCTCTCCATCTGCACTGTGGGCTGGCTTCTGCGGGCTGTTAGGGCCATCCTCCCGATGGAGGTGGCAGCTGCCCTGGAAAGCTGCGTCCAGGTGCACCAGGCCCTCCCCGCCGCCGGTGATGCCTTCCTGCCACTTCAGGTCATCCCGGCGGTGGCCAGTGAGCTGGCTGACCAGCCCAACCTGCTGCTGAGGCTCCCTGTGCCCCCTGGCAGCATCATGGGCTGCCCCTTTGGCACACTGCCTCGATGCATGGGTGGTGCGTACCTGGCACGTCCAGGTGCTGGCCGGCTGCTCTGACTGTGTGGCAGTGGCACCTGGTGTTGCCGGGGGCCTCAGCGTGGTGCACACTGTACAAGGTGCTCACTGCCAAGAAGACCGGCAACCTCCAGTGGAGATTGGTGCACAGCATCCTCAACACCTGGACCCGGTGGCCTTGGCAGCCTGCCCCTTCTGCCTGGGGGCAGTGGAAGAGAACATTTTTCACGCCTTCCTCAAATGCCCCTGGCTGCAGCTGCTCTTTGCCACCCTCGGGGCACTGCTTCGGGTGCTGGGCTGGGACTTTTTGAAGCACGCATACTTCTGCTCTTTCCCGTACTGGGCAGCCGAGCAGGCTGCAGTCAGCCTGACCAACTTCCTGGTGGGCCAGACCAAGATGGCCACCCTGAAGAGCCGCCAAAACTGGCTCGCCAGGACCGGGATGGACGACGCCCTGCAGCTTTTCTGCCTGCTGGTGCGGGCCGGCCTCTCGCTTGAATTTGAGCATGCGGTCCTCCAACAGACGGTGGCCACGTTTGAGGAGCGCTGGGCCATCGAGGGGGTGCTGTGTCAGGTCGAGGGGGGACGCCTGCTCCTTGTGCTCTGACGCTGCCACCTGCTCAGAGTGCAGGGGTGGGTCCAGTGGGCCGAGGCCTTGGGCTTTGACCTTATGGGCCAGCCCCTGATGTCCTGAAGCCCCCCGAGCATCCTCCTGTAGCACTGTATGTATGTATATGTATGTATACGTTTCTTTGTCGTTTTTTGTCGAGAGTGTGAGGGCAGGCCCTGTGGGCTGTAGGCCCAAGTCTCGTTGCTCGTGCCTGGCCTCATGGCCCTGCCCCCTTGTTTATTTACTTTGCTGCAACGTCTACTTGTTAAAAAGACAAGACCGTGGGCAGACCTTGCAGGCCATGAGCCCCAGCTTTGTCCTTGAGGGCCAGACCTTCGGGCCAAACTGTAGTGTCTTTACTGCCCCGGTTTGTCACCCTCCCTGGAATAAACGTTTCTAAAAGTCAAAAGTCCATCTGTCTGTCTTTTGGATTTCTCTCTCATTTTTTTTTTTGCATTTCTTTTGGTCTCGGACCAACAAGGCTACCAAATACATCCCTGAGAAAACTCAAAGCATTCAAAAATATTGAAGATATGTTAATTGGACTAGTTCGCAAAGGATTTGCAAACCAAACCTGCCTTAAAGTTCCCTAGTATTTGACCAGCCCTGATCACTAGTCTTCTGCTACGAAAAGCTTTTCCTTCTTTCTGCTTTCCTTTTCTTAAGTACATGGATTGTACCAAACCAAATTAAAATCCTGGTCCATCTACTTCAGTATCCTAGGCACCAGATGGTTCTTTATCCAATTAATTCATTGGATGCTTGTCTAAGGACAGCAGCAGGTCCTTTGAGTTTGACTGATGTTGAAGGATAGCTTCTTACGTCTTCAGAAAGCATGATTTTTAACTTTCAGGACGCTATGGAGCAAAAGCCCATTTCTTCTCATTTTTGAGTGCTGTTGAAGCCTGGACACTTGCAAGCAGCTGACAGGCTCCTCTGCAGTCGGGGTGGGAATCTGAGAGGGGCTATTTCCATTTCACCCAGGGAAATGATCTGTTTTTATCATTCCGTGGGTGAGGTATGCAGGTGTTCCTATAGCAACCCACTATGGCATCCTTATTTCCAGAAGTCATGCATACAGTGGGCTATTTTCCTTCCTGGCACATCTAAGCACATACAAGTTTTACCCTGTAAGTCTAACTCACGCCTTCTTTACTTAGAAGTGGGGTTGGGGAGATAGCGATATAGGCAAGGTGTTGGTTTAGGACTTAGGATACATAAGTTGACTTCCCGTGTGGTTGGACAAGCGCCGATGTGTAAAACAGAGGATAATACCAGACCTCAAAAGGGTGGCTGAGGTCAATATTGGTTGGTCACCATATTCTGTTCCTATGGAAATGCCTCCATAAGGGATGAATTTCATCCACCGGGCATATGACAGCTGCTCGGTGCAAACTAGTGTTATGGTAGCGTGCTTCGTTCTGCCTAAGCTCAGAGGAGACTATATAACTTTGGAAGCCATGATGATAGTGAGTATGACGTGGGTGTTACAACATTAGTTTGATTACCAGCACGGACTAAACGGCAGCTGAGAACCGCATCAACGTAGACCGTCTCCCTGCACCCAACAGCTCTCCCTTATTCCTGGTTTACCGTCTGGCTGTCCCCAAAAACTGGGCAAATTAACCAGATGCTGTGGCTGTGAGTCTCTGATAAGCCTCCTAGGTTATAAGTCATTTGTTTTCTTCCTCCTGTAGCGTGAGGTTTTGCATCAGGACGTGTGCTGGAACGTGATTTCTATGAGTCTACCTGTCCTCTCAATTACTACCACCCCCACCCTCCTACAGGAACCTGAACGAAGGCCGTTTGCAATAGGAAATTGGTCTCCTTTCTCTTCCGAGTTCTGCAATAACCAATAAAATATATAGTCCATGTTTATAAGATGTCTCCAGACATAAAGAGCAGCTGTGGCTTTTCACTCTAAATGCCTTTTCTTGTACCTTTAGGCAACCAGTGAGGGAAATAAAGAGACTGTAAGCAGAGTCTCCCTGGAGGAACACAGACTTTGTGCTGCTCTTCTATCACATCGTGTCGAACGCGGCCATCGGTAGACACGGCACCTAAGGATCCAAAGAAACAAGGCTCCGTTGTGCATTTATACCAGGGTGCAAACGTACCCAGCAATAAATGGGCATTTTTGGAATCTTTGTTTTACTGAGGGCTCTTAAAAAGGGAACCTGTAAATATACTGGCAACGAAACAAAACTAGAAATGTCTTTTCACATGGTCACCCACAATCAGCAACAGAAAGATTCCCAGCATAAATCCGTCTTGGGGTTATTTTTAACCATCCAGTAGCGTGTATTAAAAGAAACACGCTGGGAACTTGCGAGTGTAGTTTCTATGGAATCCTATTAGTTTCATCCTTTTTATTTTTAAATTCAACAGGGCTTTTTCCTTAACGCCAGCTCCAGAACGACAGCTGCTAACTTCTTCATTTAGAATAATAGGCCTATTTTCTGGAACTTTGCAGCCACAACTCTCTTTGGGTGTTGTTGGCAATAAGCACCTTGCTCGGTTAAATGTGTAACTATCAAACAATACCCTTCAGCACAGCAGGATGATCATTTCAATGGAGCACATTGCAGAAGGATAATATCGGGGGGCTGCACAGGCCATTCCAAAATAAATGCAAGTGCTCCACTGGTCCAAGCGCACCTCTTCTCTTTTGCACCCGTTGGTACTATTACACATCCTTTACTGGCAGTAAATCACTCCTTTGCTGTCAGCATGTCAATGGAAAATGGAAAAGCACCAGGATATAGACTTAAAAAAAAAAAAAAAAATCAAACAAGAAAGAAAATGAGACATTTGGCTATCATTTTCCCCACTATCTCTTCCTCCTTAGCTGGTAATTGTATAAGTATAATGTCCATGAAATCAGGGCAGATTTTACCAGGACAGCTTCACTGTATGATCCATCCCATCGGCTCTGCTTTGGAAATTTTATCAGGCTCAAACATCATGAATTGCTTTCAGCTGCAAGGGCCAAGAACATTAGCTTCTCAATAATGGTGGGAAGAGAAGGGATGCAACAAGGACTCTCCGTCGTGGCTAAAATCCAATGATTTTATGATGCTGAAAGACTAATTTCCGGGCAAGGATAAATTAACTTTGTAAAATGAAGGGAAGTGATTTCTCTAACTAGCCATCCATATGAATAATCTGCAGATTAGTCTGCCAAATATGTTCCAAAACCGAGGTCAAGCACCTTGAATTAAGAGAGCAGTGGGCCACTTTGCGTCATTAATAATAACATTTTCTGGCCTTAATTTTCATGGGGTTGCATAGCTCAGGGGACTTGCAAAGGGCATGCTTTTTAACCCTTAATTTTCTAGCTCAAAGACAGTCCCAGGCAGTAGTGACAAGTCAGCAACACCTTTTTATGGCTCCTCATGAGCCTATGTATTTGGGAGGCTGCTCCAGTCCCTTATACCTATGAACTCACGCTCTGATGGTCTCCCTGGCCCCCCAACTCCATTGTCTCCTTTGATGACAGACTTTCAAAAGAAGCCAAGAGCTCAGACGATATGCGCTGTATGCTGCCACAAAGACAGTCATTTCTGGAAGAGGACTGGGCTGCATAACCAGAACACATCCGCACTGGCCCTGTTATGCCTGTTGCATTCATCATTAGGGCAAGATCGTCTCATACCTGTTAGGTACCTGAGTAGACATAAGCATCTAAGTGTGATCCTATCCTACCCTGTGCAAGCACCTGCAAAAATATTCGTACAAACGGTGGGTGGGTTCTCCTCCTCCCTATGTTCTGTAGTTTGACGTTCAGGGTATAAAGGTGCTGTGTTACAGACCTGACTCGCTAATCCGTTACTTCTGGGATTTCTGTTTCCCGAGTGGATAAAACTTGTGTGCGACTTGTAAAACTTGGTAAAGGACTGTCTCTCCGAATGAAGAGCTACCAAGACTCAATTTACAGCCTCCTAGCAGACAGCGAACCTCAGGAAACCATGCAAGCAGCCAGGAAGAGGAGACCGCCAACAGCAAGAAAAAGAAACGGTATCTACTGTGAAAGCAGAGACAAAAAATACCTGTTTAATTAGAGGATTGGAAGTCTGATTAAAATCTTACTAGCTGCCAAGACTTCGACTCTGGTGGGTTTAATGACCTTCATATTTTCTCTCCGTACCTCAGGAAAATAAAAGACATTTCCTCAGAGCTTCTATCCAGAAAATTATCTGGGGGAAAAAAAAAAAAAAATCACTAACATGCAAAAATGAGTCATGCGTGAATTCTTTGCCATAATCCCACATTCTGGACTGTGTTACTGCTGGGTGGGTCTGACAAGTCCAATTGCTATGGTCGTTTGGGGTCAGCTACACTATATTAAGCGGCCAGTAAGATTACTTAGACCAGCCACAGGCTGAACGAATTGTGCCATCAAGGACAAAGATAAACTCTTTGGATTTGCAACCTGGCCACTTGCTTGGATCCCACAAAGACAAAACCTCCTTGAGAAGTCCTGGGAGAAACCTATAAATAGATGCTGGTTATTAATAATGCTGTTCCAGCAGCATTCCCGGTGCTCCAGGCATGGTCATTGCACACCAGAAGACACAGCTTCTACCCTAAGAACTGGCAATTGGAAGCTGTAGGTCCCGTATCCCTCCCATTGAGGAAGATGCTTCAAAGTCTTTGTTAAACGTCATGCGAACAGTTAAACCCTGTGCTTTAACAATCAGATTTGACTGGTCCCTAATGAATCCTTGGCTGTCGTATGTTTTCAAGGTGTACTTGCACTCCAGGACTGCAGCAGCTTTTGAGGCAGTTGTGATCAAGGGTAAAGTGGCAAGATCTTATTCTCTTCCTCTTTTCTTTGCTTGCAAAGTGTT